AGACTAACATGAAGTCACGTGACCGTGGTGGAGTTCCTTTACAGACTAACGTGAAGTCACGTGACCGTGGTGGAGCTCCTTTACAGACTAACGTGAAGTCACATGACCGCGGTGGAGTTCATTTATAGACGAACGTGAACTCAAAGCCTGCTGCTGCTTTCAGGCTGCAAAGTCAGTCAGGCTGTTGGTCACACGCAGGTCAGCCGGCTGAACGCCCACAGACCACAGACCCCAGTCTGACGACGTTAAGAACGATGCTTTAGATCTCAAACTGTCTGCGTGATCCCGTGTGAAAATGAGCACTGAGACACAGATCGTGATTTTTCGCGTGCCGCTGCCTGACCCTGCAGCCGTGACCTCGGCAGAGATCATGTGGAGTGGTGGGCCAACACGATCGTCCGTGGCAGTCAGGCAGCGGTGGAGAGTATTTGGGTTAGAACAGATAATCCACTCACCCCTAAAGAGGATTAGAGAATCTCACAGGCTTTGATGAGTTGTGAGCCGGTGTTTATTTCACATCACAAGAAACAGGGCTGTTTGCGTCACGGCCAGGGAGCCTCGGCACGACCCGGCGGGTCACCGGCAGCATCATCATGGGTGTAACTGCTGCTGCTACAGGGGGAGAGCGGAGGAGGTGGAGGAAGATAAAGGGGGAGGGTGGGGGGATGCTTCGGTGTCTTCGCTCCTTATCTCGCCACAGATCCCGGCGTTTAGAGAGATGATGTGATAGCAGAGGCTGTGTGGACCCGAGACATGGATACCGCAGCGCTAATGAGGATCCTCTGAGCTCGCTGATCAATCCCCCCCCCCCCTCCCTTCAGAAAAATGATGCTGTGTGAGAAAAGGGTTAGCGCTCAAAAGTTCTGTGATTATACACAAAAGGATGTTTGTTTACAAGAGAAGAAGAAAGAGATGAGGAGGGAGAGTGTCTCTGCAGGCGCTGCTTGTCTCCGATGTTCAGGTTTAATTGGCTCGCTCACCTTGGCTGTTAGAGTCCAGGACCACCCTGGTGAGGGAGACAAGGGGGGGTCTCTGTCACGCTCGCCTGCCTTTAACCTCAGACAGCACGGACTGCGGCCTTAACGTTAAAACTCGAGACATTAAAACTCTTAAGCAGCTGAGATATGGCTACGCTTTGGAGGCAACTCTTATCCTCTGGAGGAAGCAGATTTTAATTAACAGGAGACAAAGCCCTCAGTAAACCAGAGGCACACTGAACAATAGATGGCCTCTATGTTTCTGGGAGCTTCAACACAACTTGTATTTTTTTTTGTTCTCTGTGACGGCTCTAAATATATTTTTCTTTGGTTTCCATCCTCTGTGTCTCTACGATCACACTTTTAGAGACGAACCCCTTTAGATCTTCCTTTCTCAAAATGCAGTGTGCATTCATTAATACTTGGACAGATATTTAGCTGTGATTTGGGTGGTCTGTAAGATTTAGGGAACTGAATGAACCTGTATTCAGCGGTATTTGCCCATCCACTGACTGACTTGTGGTTTTCCATTTTCCACTGACACAGCAGAAACAGGGGGACGTTGTCCAAGTCTTCAGTTCAAGACTTTCAGAGGTGTGTGTGTGTGTGTGTGTGTGTGTGTGTGTGTGTGTGTGTGTGTTCAGTGGAGCGTCTAAGACTTCGGTAGGGAGTGAAGTCTATATATAGATGATAACAGCAGCTGGGATGAATTAGAGGGAATGAGGACATTGTTACACAGGAATGGTCGCAGCTGTGAAACAATTAGGAATCTAGCAATTTGTATTATTATTACTAAGTACAAGTACTTATATTTTAGTACTTGTCGATACAGAGTACCGATATGACTACTTAATAATACCACTACAGGTCTAAGATTGATACCTTTTGTTTTCATCAGCTGATTGAATATACGTTTTAACATTCAACGTTGTGTGTTCCTGATTCAAACGGAACATAATTCTTTGACATGATAATGAATTGCTTAAGCGTGCTATCAGTGAAACAGTTCAAAGAAATATAAAAATAAAAAAACGAGGAGCGGCTCGTCCCAACGAAGTGCCCGGTCATCTCTACTGCCGTTGGAACGTGAGGGAGGTGCACGTTGCAGGTGTATATGAGTCCACATGCACGTGTGTCTGTGCGTACGTGTGCCCAGGAGACTTGATTTGTAGCACTTGAATGCGAGCAGCTGCACACAGCTTTAATTCTTCTAATTGATGGTGAGTGACACGAGCAAAGCTTCTGCCTCCTCCCGACTGCAGCGCTGCTCTCTCCTGCCGCTGCTGATTGAAATATTGCTCTGTTCCACCACTTCACTCAGTTAAGTGCTATGTTGCTGGATAGCAATCACTTTGCTCCCTGAATGAAGAAGAATAGCTCAGGACGGCGCTGCCCACACACAGGTACAGTGTTATGTCACGGAGCTCCTTCAGCTCCGCGCGACGCCGTCTTCTAACCGAGATCCTGACCCGAGGATACAAAGTGAGACGTAGAACCCACTTCAGGAACAAACGATTTTCCCTGTGAGGTGTGGACAGAGTGCACGACCCGCTGTGACAGCTCCGTTATTGAGACAAAATGCTGCTTCTAGTGATGCGGTGCCCCCAAAGGGGGACCGGTGGCCTCAAGCGGCATCACCAGCATGTAATCCTGTTTCTTCAGTGATTCCAACATTTCATTTCTTTGGCCTCGATGTAAGGTCCTGTGGAACCGAACCCGTCTAGCAGCACCGGAGAACGGACGGCGCTCCTCTTTTGTTTTTCCCGAGCTTCTGTGGAAGCGGTGCCTGGGTTTGATCCAGCTCATTAAAACCCAGTTAATGTTTGTGCTGATGGCTCCGCAGAGACAGCCGGAGAGACGGGTCGGTGTTATTCCTGCCTCTGCTGAAGCGTCAGCTCAAAGCCTTTATGGCTCACAGATGGAGGGAAATTCTCGCAACAATACAATACAATAGGGATATACTTAATTCACACGCAAACATTCCCAATTTAATATTGTCAGTGTGAAAAGCAAAAGCCTGTTATGGCGTGCAGCATAATGAGTGTGTGTGTGTGTGTGTGTGTGTGTGTGTGTGTGTGTGTGTGTGTGTGTGTGTGTATGTGTGAGAGGCTGTGTTGTGGTTGTGCTGACAGGGAGAAGACATCTGGAACCAAGGAATGTTGTTTTTGAGAAAAACAACATTCAGGCGATCTCTGTTTTATATTCAAATGTTGTGTCAGCCCCCCCCCCCCCCCCCCACTGTCTACCGGGTGTTTTCTTGCATTTGTATTCAATCATCTGTCAGTGATGCTCACACTCTCAGCCGCAGAGAACAATCCATCCTTCATGTGATAGCAGTTACTGCCAAAAGAAAGCAACAGAAATAGCAACAGAAATTCAGTTTTTTTCCCTCTATTAGAGTAAATATGACATTCTCTCAGAGGTGCCGCATGAATTCTAATTTTGAGTGCCAGGAAATATATATTCAGCCCCCACATTCCGATGTTATTGTGCAGGCTGTGTGGTGTCTTGGAGGTGCTGTGTTGAGTGTGAAGGTCAGATAAGCGCTTCTTTGTGCGAGCTTTGAGGAGACGCTGAGATCTGCTCACATTCAGAATGTGACCTTTTCTTTAGACGTTAACGCGACTTATTGACTTTCACTCTACTCGTATCAGTGCATGTTCCACATGAAGCCCATTACAGAGCGTGAGCTTCCTGTGTCAGATCATCAATGTCATCATTTCATCATCGTGTCCGGTATTGGTTGCATCTGAGTTTGAGACTGACCTGTTCACCCCCTCTCTGCAGGTGCAAAGGGGCCTCTCACTATGGGCTCTCGGCGGACAGGAAGCGGCGCTCGCAGGAGGGCGAGTGCACCGACAGCACGTCCGAGCTCACCATCGCCACGCTGCCCAGCGACGGTCCCGCCTCCGCCGCCGTGGCGCTCCTGTCGGACGAGCCTGGCCTGGTCAACCCCGCCTTCGACCCCAGCATGGAGGACAACAGCCAGTCGGGCAGCACGACCAGCCTGGCGGCCCGCAGCAGCAACAAGAAGAGTGAGTGTGAGTGGGCGAGCGGGCGTCCGTGTGCGGCCATGCTGACCCATTAGTTATCCAGAGAGAGAGACACAGAGAGAGAGAGAGACACAGAGAGAGAGAGACACAGAGAGAGACACACAGAGAGAGAGAGGGAGTGTGTGTTTGATGTGTGACAGATTGAAAATCATTAGAGAGCTTTCTAGACCCAGTTACAGTCTCCCAGTCCAAACCAGATGCCGGTCATCACGCTCAAACATACAACCACACCTGCAGACTTATCATGTTGAAACACAGGCGCTTGCTCAACCTCAAATACAGTGTTTGTTCTTTCTAATGGTCTCTGATAGAAATCCTATCAGCCAATTAGCTGCACTGCCTTGTTTTCTTTTTTTTCCCCTCCACCAATCCATAAAATCTCTCTTTGGGGAAAACAGCAGGGAAGCACAGGGGGAAACAAAGTCACTGAGAGGGCAGGTACATTACGCAGTCAAGGAGAAATGGAAGCAGAGTTGAGTTAAATTTAGCCTGATGCGAGTGTGACGTGATCAGCCCTCTCCCTCCATTTCTCCCACCTGTGAAACCAGGAAGCAGTCACGAGTTGTTCCTCTCTGCGTACATGCAGTGGGGACACCAAATGACGCTGCACCAGCACTTTAGGCCCCGGGGCCGGGCCGAGCTCCCCGCAACCACCGTGAGCGCCGCTGCTGCTGAACAAGCTGACAGCTCCAGAAGCGGCCGGCGCTTTTAAAGAATAATGTGGCTGTCAGGAGCTCTCGCATCTCCCAGAGCCCGCAGAGGGAGGGAGGGGCGCTGCAGAGGCGCCGCTGCCCTCTGCGCTTCGGTGCAGCCGGGCTGCTGCCTCTCTCCACTGCAGCCTCCTGTAGCCCGTCTGTCCTGTTTCTAAGAAAAGCAAAGTACCAGACAACGGCCTCACTGGGAGGGTCTCCTTCTGGATGTGGTCACTAGAGTCCAACGTGTGTTACATCGCTGCTGTAGTTACCCAACCGTGTAACTATTATTTATTAAAGAGCCACTGGTTGAAAACAGCTCCTCCATCCACACAAAAAGGTTTTAAGTTCTGTTGACATAGTGTTTCTCACCAAAACGCACTGTCGGCATCTTTATATTCTAACAAATAGCAAGGACAATATTTCAAATCCTGCGTTGTTTGCATTCGTGTTTGGGAGATAATTGGGGGAGAAATAGTTGTGAGTTTCAGCTCATTGTTTAGATGTCCGGCCCAAAACGTAGACATCTTGGTTCACTCTCAGCGCTCTCATAGTCTTCGGCAGCAGCAGGCAACTGTTTGCTAACAAGTTTGCTATTTTGATTTGAAAGATGAGTGTGTATGTGATTGTTGGGTTTGTTTAATGTGTCTTTTCTGCCTCTGTGGGTGCATTGCTGTTGCTTTACGGACACAAACTGTCAGTCAGCAGAGTAGTGTTCAGCTGGTCGCGGGAATGTGTAACGCATCGCACATGTTCGTCCCTACAAACGTACTTTAACAGGGAGCCACTGATGAAAGCGTTGCTCTGTGGCTGGAGGTCAAAGCCTCTGAACTTTCAATGCAAATTCAATGGTCGATCAAATACTTTATGTCACTGTCGTCAAGATAAGGGGGAGAATTATGGCTGAAAACTTAACTACAGGTGCAAGATGCACTATTTTTGCATCCGGTGAGACTTGAAACTCATGGCTGTATTGTTTAATCAGGACCTCCTGGACCACACAGGCTCTTCATCCTCTCACCAACAGTCACTAAAGGGGGAGGCAGTGGATTGGCCCTGAGGAGGCAGATTCAGACATGTCCGGGCATGTTGAGTGTGCTGTAATCTATAAAGTGCCTCTCCTTTCTCCCCTGTGTTCTCTGCAGTCAGAAACTTTGACCGGTCCTCGGTGAGGAGCCGCTCCTTCAGGAGGTTGAACCGGGCCTTCAGCGTCCTGCGGAGGACAAAGAGTGGCAACGCGGTGAGCAACGAGACGTCGGAGGAGAGAGACAACGCCAGGAATTCCAACGTGCCACGGGAAGGTAATGATCATCTCCTCTCGTCCTCGTTTCTGCATTTACCCCAAAGAGAGCCGGCTGTGTGTTTGCGATGTTCGCTCAGCTGTAGGAGGACTCGGTGTAACAGTAGCATATGTTTCTTTAATAATTCAGCTGCAGATTGCATAAGTCCGCTGGTGGATTAATGGAGACGGATCAGGAGGGAGAGTGGTAGCCTGAGGCTCTTTAGACAGGGATGGGATACCTTCTCCTTCACGACCTCCTCCTCCTCTTCCTTCTCCCTCCAACACATCCAGGGTGAACAGGTTTGCACCAACTTGATGGAGTAGTCCACAAGATGTCACCTAGTAGAGAAAACGTGCTCTAGAGATGTTTGATGTAATATCCACATCCTGGACCCTCTTGATGGTAAAAGTGGAGGAAATATATAGAGCGAGATGTTGAAGTAGAGCTGCAGGAATGTGGTGTTGCGTAAGGATGACGAACGATCAGGGACTAGATTATTCTCTGAGGGCATCACTGAGGAGGCTGAGAGAATAGATTAAATATTCATTGGCTGCCGCTGGAGAGACAAAGATAGATGAGTAGAGAGGATGGAAGGTTGAAGTAGAGATAGATCCATTCACAACAAAAATGGAGGGAAGAGCGGATACAGAAAAAAAAGATAAGGAAACAAATAAAAGCATAGCAATGTCCCCATGCCAAAATAAAACAGTGGGACGGGATGAAGAAAGAGGAGAGGAGGAAGCCTTACATAATAGCTGCAGGTCTCTGTGTTAATGTGGTCTCCACCCCGAAAGCAATCCGCTGCGATAAAGACAAAATATTGACTTTGGATCAGAGAAAGTGCAGCGTGAGTAGAATGAAACTGACTGAGGCTAACGGAGCCGGAGACACCGAGGGAGAGAATAAAGAGAGAGAGAGAGAGAGAGAGAGAGAGGCAGACAGACATTCTTCAGAGCCAAGGAAAAATAAATTAGGTCTTCTCTGTCGTTTATTGGCAAATGCTGTCGGCCAGAATAGTCCCAAAAGATCCCCACCCTCCTCCACATGGTCCAGTTTAGGATGTGTCATTCTGCTGTTAAGTGGACTTCACCACCGGGCGTGAGGGAAGGGGGAGTTTACAAACTTATATCACATAAAAACTGGCACAAAAGTACAAATCTTTCAGAAATATGAAGTTTTACGATGAGGTTTATTTGTATTATTTGGGTGAGTAACATGCATTCTTTATGGCAGAATCCTGTATATTGGTTGATCGATTCTGCATATTATAATTCTTGAAGTTGTACTTTGTGCAGAGAAAATCACGAGGAGAAATGCTAAACATTTCCCCTGAGCAGTGGTTGGAATATGTGCTCGTTATAACTGTACTTGCATCCCTCCGCCCAAAGTAATAACCTTGTGGAAATTTGAAATTGAGGGTTTTCCCATGCGGACCTGCTACAGATGTATGTGACTAATGATACAAACATTGAGCCGGATAACCAGCCAAGTACATTTTCCCTCTTGGCTTGTACAAGTTTGTTTTCGTAACCTGAGGGAGTAGAGACAGCTGGTTCCACTGCAGAACCTCTCCGCTCTCTCTCTCTCCTACTTCCTCCCCCTGTTACATTTGGCTCTTCGTCAAACCTGGTGTTTCATGTCGTCGTACAGTAACATTCAGAACTAAACCGTTCTCTTTCCTCTTCCCTCAGTGCTGCCTCTTCCTCAGCTGCATCACCTGATCCCTGACGGGGAGCTCACCAGTATTAAGATCACGCGGGCGGATCCCTCGGACCCGCTGGCCATCAGCATCGTTGGGGGCAACGAGACCCCGCTGGTTCGCGTCCTCATCCAGGATATCTACAGAGAAGGTGTGATTGCTCGGGACGGACGCCTGCTGCCCGGGGACATGATCCTAAAGGTATCGCAGTGAGAATGTGCTTCACGTCTCGGTAAGAATCGATCATAGTTTTAGCTTTTAAGCCTCTTCTCCGTTGCCCTCTCAGGTAAACGGCATTGACATCAGCAACGTGCCCCACTGCTACGCCCTGGCCACCCTCAAACAGCCCTGCCAGCTCCTCCGGCTAACCGTGCTCAGAGAACAGCGCCACCGCTACCGCTCGCATTCGCATGGCCACGGGCACGAGGTCGCCGGGGGCCACCCGTCTCACGGTCCGCCCCACCACCCGTTGAGGGACGACGGCATCCACGTGGTCCTGAATAAGTCCATCCCGGACGAGCAGCTGGGCATCAAGCTGGTGAGGCGGCCGGAGGAGCACGGCGTCTACATCTTCCACCTGCTGGAGGGCGGCCTGGCGGCGCGCGACGGGCAGCTGTGCGTCGGCGACCGCGTGCTGGCCATCAACGGGCACGATCTGCGCTACGGCGCGCCGGAACATGCCGCTCTGCTGATCCAGGTCAGTACGGCCGGTCCTTCTTCTAAACCAATCGATAGAAAGTTCACAGTTGTGTCAGACTCGTCCACATGTTGTTGCAGCCCATAACGTGTGGTGTTCTTACCCAGAGTCCCCGAGGTATTACAGATAATTGTGCTGATTCAGGGCTAATTGTGCTGTTGCGTCTGCACTCGCTGCAGTTAATGGTACTTAATTGTGGTGGTTCCCTAATGGACTGGGCCATGCGGCCACCTCTGGTTCCTGGTCAGTGCCAGTCAATGGCAGTGTTTTGTGGTTAATCGTTGGTTAATTGCTGTGTGTTAGCGGCGGACTGTGCGGGGTCTCTGTGCCTCGCAGTTCCTGTCTGACTGGCCTCTTGTGGGTCTCTGCGGAGCCTCTCAGAGCGGGCCCTTTCTGTCGGAGATTAACAACTGGCAGGGAAAAAGTTCAATCAGTCCAGTTAAGGCAATAATGGGCTGGACTGGCTGATTCAGGAGGCAGCTCTGTGCTACAGAGACCAGGGGGGAGAGGGCCAGCCCGTCTGTCTGTCTGCCTGTCTGCCTGTTTGTCTGCCTGTCGGACCACAATGAGTGAATGAGTGTGGATGGACTGCAGGTTCAGTAGTAGGAGTTTGGAAAAATAAGACTGAGCCTGTATTTCTCCTTAAAGTGTTGATTCACCAAAGTAATATTAAAAAACATATTTTAAATGTAATATTTCAATTCAGTGAGCATCTTGGAATGAAAGTTATTATTAGCCATTATTTTACGACCAGTTTTGAAGGAATAGTTTTGGGGAATATGTTTGATTTGTTAGATGAGTCGATTGATGCCGCTCTCATAATTATCTGTTGAATATAGGGCTGCAGCTGGTTAGCTTAGCTTAGCTTAGCATATAGACTGGAAACAGGGCTAAAAAACTAGCCAGGCTCCATCTGAAGGAAACAAAATCCAGATCCTCTGATGAACATGTTATATCTTGTTTGTTTAATCCGCTCAGAACCCAAAATGTCAAAACAACAATTCACCGTTTGAAAGGTTAAAATGTGCCAAACTTTTTCTTACTGGTCTGGGATGCGACCAGTAACCTTTTAGAGTCTCCGCTGACATCTTGCTCGTTGTTTCTTTTACACTTTGTCGGGATTAAACTAACGAGATGTAACATGGACGTATGAAGAGAACTGGATACAGGCAGAGTGAGTGACGGGGTTTCATAGGAACGAACACGGTCCCGCCTCCAGCGCTGCATCCAGTTCTCTTTATACATCGATGTATTTAACATGTCAAATAGAGGCTAGCTGTTGACCCGTTTCCAGCCTTTGTGCTAAGCTAAGCTAACCGGCTGTTGGTCAGACATGAGAGTGGTATCGGTCTTCTCAGTCTTTTCTTGCCACAGTATTGTTTGCAGCTCATCTCTGAACTCTGCTGTGTCTCACTGTTCTCCAGGCATCTGAGGAGGGCGTCCACTTCATCGTGTCTCGTCAGATCTGCCTGCCCACGCCAGACATCTTACAAGAAGCTCCGTGGGGGATGGACGGTCCTCCGCCTTATTCCCCCGTGGATATCGAGCAAACACTACTGGTGAGCACCACATAGAGACGAGTACACCGACGCACAGAGAGGAGCTGTGCTCCTCCGTCTCCACTCTCTGATAAAAACCCTTTCAGGTGCAAATGATCCATGCAGGTATTATTCTCCCATCAAAGCTGAGCGTGTCAATCAAGCAGCACCGCGAGCAGAGAATCCTTGCATCTATATCGGCCATCTTTTCTTTTTTCTTCTTCTTCAGCACACAGAAACACAGCATCTTCCACCATCTTTCACGGACACACTGGTGGGATCTGTTGTTCTAATAGGGATTTTTAGAGTCACTTTTTCAAGCTGAAAATGCATGATTTTAAATTTGGTTTAAAAGCAAGCAGAAAATTAGGCTTCTGTAGTTCACTATCCTTATAAATGCATCACATCGCCCTTCAAACATCACACAATTTTGGGTTAAATACCCTGTAAAACAGTTCCAGTTCAGTTGAGCTGCTTAACTGAAGATAAAGGGATGCAAGCGTGTCTCTTTCTGGAGGTAACAAATCCTACCAGCACCTCTAAAGCTCACTAAATAACACGATGATATGAAGTCTGTACAGCGTCCAGCATTCCGACTGTCAGCAAGAAAGAAATTAACCATATTTCCCAAAATGCATTCCTTTTAGAGCCGTTATTTAGTTGGCTACGACTGACTTCTTTTTTTTATGGTAAGGATGCCATTTCAGAAAAGAGAAATGTCTTGACCACCATTGGAAACCTCCTTTTTTCTTTTCTCTTTGCTTCTCATGAGCGAGTGCACATTTCCACACACTGCTCACCACTCAGTCGTGTATTGCGTAGGTCGGCAGCGAGCGTTCACACGGCTCCGGTCGTCCACGTGACCACGAGTGATCTCCTCCTGTGAGCGCAGCACAAATGTGTGAATGCAGCACGATAGCGACGCAGCACGCTGCGATATCCCATCAACCCCAATGTGTCCGTGTGTTATCATTACTGCTCCGCTCTCTCTCTCTTGGCGTCCGACACTCAAACACATAGAAATGGCTTCATCACACACACACACACACACACACACACACACACACACACACAGTCATGAATAAATCAGTCGCTCCGTATCGAAAAAGACTAAATGAAGAGGCGCTTGAGCTGCCTGATGCCCCGTCCTAATAACACCATATATTATACATGACCAGTTATGCTAATGAGGTCATTCATCAATTAGCAGCTGTGTCTATGTCATAGGACTCTTGCCCCCGTTGCGTATCATGGGTGGTACTCAAACGAAGTCTTTCTTCCATTAACGGGCTATCGCAAGTCCCAGAGAAAACAGCCCTTTATTAATATGCAAATGAGCGGCTCCACAATCTAATTAGGTGATGTCGTCTACATTAAGGTGCCCTTGGTGTAAAAATATGTTCATATCAAGTTTGGTCAAACTGATGTTGTATATCGGCCGATGCCCAAGCACCGATGCGACACCAGTGTGTTAAAAAAACAAAACGTACGTTAATAATTCCCTCTAATATCTAGTATATATTTCTATGAAAACATCTCCTTCAAACAAATAGATTCATTCAAGTTTCTCACCAAACTAAATGTAACAAGATTACATTTGAAGACATCAGGATAACGTTGTAACTTACCTGTACCCAATACTCATTTTTACTAAATGGAGCTTGAACGCATCGTAATAATAATAATCATACTTATCTAACCGGGCCGGACTGTGCTGCTAACGCTAACTAGCTGTGTAACATTAACAGAGGGAGAAATGGAGCGTTTCCCCACAGGTGTGCAGTTCTAGTTTGCACATGCTCAGTAGCACCCAGGCAGGGTGTGTGTGGATCAGGTCGCGAATGACATCAGTTGTTGTTTCTGTGCAGCGTAACTGAGCTGATTGAAGATATAACGTGATCTGATTGGTGCGTAGACTCTGTGATACCAGATTCAGTATTTTGGGATGTGTGGGAGACGTTTCTGAAATTGATATCGACAAAAACAGCCCTGTTGCTTTTAGATCTCCATTATTAATTGACCCTCCATTGGACCTTCTCTCTCTCTGTTGAAGGACTCCTGTCAGAAGCCTGCATGCTATGAGAAGAACGTTACTCTGACTAAGGAGCCGTACGACTCCCTGGGGATGACGGTGGCGGGCGGCATGTCCAGCCGAGGGTGGGACCTCCCCATTTACGTCACGAACGTGGACTCTGACGGAGTGGTGGGACAGGAGGGCTCCATCCGCAAAGGTACAAGCAATGTGATACGATTGTCCTCTGTTTTACAGATAATTACTCACTTATTGGAGGGAGAATTTTTTTTTTTTTTTAAATGAGGTTGTTGTCTACTGTTGAGCTCACATTACGACTGGCAGACTTGGCTTTGGCGATGAATACTTTGTGTATTACAGACGGGCTGATTGATGAATTATGTTTCATTATGAAGTGTATTCATCCGGCAGAAAGACGCGGCGATGCTGCCGCGGTTCGACGCTCTACAAATTGGCTCCGACGCACTTCAACCAAAAGCAACAAACAAACAAACAAACATTAGCACAGCAGAGCTCGGGACTTCTTGTGTTCCGTTTGTGGAGCGCTTCATTATTTTGTTAGATGAAATCAGTCGGCTCTGAAAATAGAGCGAAATGCAAAAAAGCGGCACAGGCGTAACGGGATGTACCAGCAGCAGTGTTGAGATCCTGTAATGCAGCTGATTGCAGCTTATTAAGAGAGAATAACAGGAGCAGGAAGACTTTGTTCTGGATGGTCCGAGGTGCACGTTACAGTATTTATACGGGACGTCGCAGCAGCAGCTGTCTCCGTTTGTGTGCTCGTGAAACATGTTTGTGTTTTGAAATCGGACCACTCATTTGCACGTCCGCCCGGGGCTTTGCGTCGCTCACTAGCGGGCTGCACCGTCTGTTTTCCCCTTCGCACCACTTTCATCGCCGCGAGGCTTTCTAAAGCACAGGTGGCGCTCTGTTTCCACCCCCTTTGTGTTGATGCTGGAGCGGGAAGGTTGTTGAATATTAAACAGGCAGATGATGAGTCCAGAGCGCCCCTGAGGTCTTTTGAAAAGCATTAATCAGGCTGTCCTCTTCCTCCCCCCCCCTCTTCACAGGCGACATCCTGCTAAATGTGAACGGGGTGGACTTGACCGGGGTGACGCGAGGCGAGGCCGTGGCCAACCTCAAGAACACCTCCTCTCCCGTCGTGCTCAAGGTCTTGGAGATGCGTCCGCCGGAGGAGAGCCTCCAGGAGTGCGCTCTGCCGCCCTGCCTGACCCCGTCACCCACGGACAGCACCAAGAGCCCGCTGCCCAACGACGACTACTCGCCACTGTGGGTGTTGTGGCTGCAGCTGCCCAGGTATAATTGACACACACACACACACACACACACACACACACACTGGTCCTTTTGACCTCCGCCAGCTGGTCGCCAACCGACATTCTGACAGAGCCAGCTGGGGAGCGAATACTCATTATACTTTCTAACTTTTCCGCTTTAAATATTCAGATGCTATTTCATCAGCAGAACTTCTGAGAATGAAAAAGCTTCCCTCGGATTGTAACGTACAAATTTATCTTAATAGGATGTTTAGACGGCGGCGCGCTAAGGAACTACTGCTCCTTAAAGTAAATAATAAAAATGTGTTTCTCCTCAAACAGCAAATTGATTAGGAATCAGAACAAAGCTCTGAGTCACCATGGGGATGTCTAGACCAGTGGTGCAGCTTTAAATATGCTAGAATGCTATATATACTGTATATATACATGTACAGTCCAACTATTCTCATTGTTTCTTATCTGCTGGGAGGAAAAGTCACACCTTTATTCAAAGAGGCCTTTGTTGTCTGTACAGACGTAAGGGTTATACAATTTAAAGACGCAGTGTAGAGATTAGTGGTTTTAATCTCTCTCTCTTGGCTCATGCAGACACCTCTACTGCTGCAAAGACATCGTCCTGCGGCGGAGCACTTCGGGCAGCCTGGGCTTCAGCATCGTTGGGGGTCATGAGGAGGTCAACTGCAATCAATCCTTTTTCATCCGCTCCATCGTGGAGGGGACGCCGGCCTACAATGACGGCAGGATAAGGTATGCGGCAGGAAAACTGCCCGTGAGCAAAACGGCTTTAGAGCAGCTTCGACACCTGTACGAGCAAAAAAAGACTATTTTCAATTTATATCCGTAAAGTCATTTCTTGGTTTCCGTTAATTAGGTTTGTGTTAATTGTGATCATTTACATGATCCGACTATCAGTTAATCGGTTAACTTCCTGTCAGCTGCTGCATTAACAAAACGCTGCAGAAAATACAAAGGGGCCCAATTCAAAATGTATATGTTCTTTGAAAAGGTCTATAGAGACAACGAATATCAGCTGATCGATCGATCGTGGCGCCGGTAACGGAGCAAAGATCAAAATGCGGAAATTAACTCCAGCAAACAAGTCAGAGGCAAGAAATGTGCAACAAAATGATAGAATTGGATGAATATAGCTTTTTGATAATGTCAACGGAGCGTCGGAGAAAAGGAAAAACGCTGCTTGTACTTCATTTTTTTCTTAAAAGGTACTGTGTGTAGCATTTAGAGGTCAATCGGCAGAAATTGAACTGAGTGTTGTTAAGTTTTTGTCTCCATATGGAGCGGGTCGTCTCTCCGGAGTCCACAATGTTTCTACAGTAGAAGTTTCAGTTAGTTGCGTTCTGCAAACTCACCACTAGGTGCTGCCAGATCCTACACGATGTACCTTTAAAAGACAAATCACCCAGTTAGTTAGGCTAACAAAAGCTAAACCTAGAGGTTAACAATGCTCTTTTCAATTGGCCGTGTCGCTCTGTGTAGGTGTGGGGACATCTTGCTCGAGGTGAACGGGAAGAGCACATGGGGGATGACCCACACGGCGCTGGTGCGCCTTCTAAAGGAGCTCCGGGGCCGGATCACCCTGACCATCGTCTCCTGGCCGGGCAGCCTGCTGTAGCGCCGCCTCGGTGGCACTGACCAAGGAATGTGTGGAGGCGGAGCTTTGAGACCGGCCGACCACCCCCGAGTGTAGAATAGTGCTATCTGGACGGACGGACGGACACGGCTGAGACGTTTGCCGGGAGTTTCGGAGAGGGACAAACATGAGACTGGATTGTTACCAGAGGTTAACTTGCCCCTCCGAGAACACTGAGCGTGTGGGGGGGGGAGGGGGACCAGGATGTTGTTGTTATCTGTTTGGAGGTCATTCTCTGGCACAGCATCCAGCGAGTGGAGCCGGTGGATCGAGGAGGAGACACAACACGTTGCCAATTCCAGTAGTTATATATTAGGGTATGCGTTAAGTTGGACTCACATTTCTTTACTGTAAATGTTGGGTGTCTAAAAAAAAACCTAAAAAAATCCACAAAAAAAAGGTACTGATCCAAGCACTTGTAATACGTTTCTTTTGGTTTGTTTGTGGTTTGGCCTCTGAACGTAGGCTCCATCCTGTTTGTACTGACAGTGGTTGTCATCTTCATCACGACATGTTGCCAAGTAGTCGTCTGTGTTGAGCTTTCTCTCTGTTTTCAGAAGCAATGGCTAAATTATCCAACCACTGGCAATAAGATATATATAAAAAAATAAAAGATCAATGTGTTCATAACATGTTAAAAAAATATTGAATTAGGTGACATTGTGGAGGCCTTACTCATTTTCTTACTTTTAAGAAGAAAAAATAACTGACTTGGTTTCTGTGTGTCGGCGGACGGTCTGAGGCCCGTCTGCTGCGGTTCTGTCTGTCACGCTTCGGCCTGTGTAGTATATCTGACGGTACATTTGGTTAAATGATCAATAAAGTCATTTGAAAAAGAGAGTTGTGGGAGGAAACTCTTACTTTAATACACTGAAACTGATGCAACATAAACATTTTCTCCTTAGCTTCTCCAATAAAACTCACACTTTCTGATGAAACACACTGCAAGATGCCACAGGGCAGGTCTCATTAAATAGATTGAGAGACTGACAGTCAGTCGTATTTTAACTTCCTCTCTTGGTCAACAGAGAACATCTTGTTGGTCTTCTTGTCCTTCCTATTTCTTTTTGTGTTTACTCTGACTGTCTCTGTCCTCAGCACTGTCCCTCCTCTTCCTGCTGCTGCTGTTGAGGACATAGAAGACAATCACGTGATAATTCTGTCGTCTTTCATTCTGTCTTTCATGAAGACTGAGTGAGCATGGATGGATTACTGATCGGGACAAGTGGGCACTAAGTGTCGGGGGCTTGCAAAATGTAACTGAAAGAGACGCGTACCGACCAGGAAGAGACACAAAATGACCACAAAGAGACATAAAACAACTACAACGAGATACAAAATGATTACAAAGAGCTGAAACTGATAAGAAGAGACACAAAAAGACAACAGAGAGACACAAAACAACTACAAAGAGACAAAACAACTACAAAGAGACACAAAATTACTACAAAGAGACACACAACTACAATCAAATAGGGAAAAACAACCACAAAGAGACACAAAATGGCGGCTGTGGGTAGAGCGGATCAACTACGAGGTTTGCTGTTCGATCCTTAGCTTCTACTGTTGGTGTCGAAGTGTCTGCTTAGGATGGTCAATGAGGTCATATTTCATGTATGTCCCTGTATGTGTATTAGGAGTGTTCTAAAGTTAAGT